CTCTTGCTCAGGCTGGTCTCGAACTCCTGACCTTGAGTGATCCTCCCACCTCGGCTAGGATTATAAGTGTGAGCCACCGCACCCAGCCAACAGAGGATGTTTTAAATAAAAAGTTGAAATGAGTTAAAGACAGTAATCATAAAGTTAAAAGATACATATATACATATATATATGTTCAATGAGGTAAAAAGATCACAATATTAATATGACTCTAACTGCTTTATTAACATCTGATCAACTGTGCATATTTAATGTGTTCAGTAGTAAGTTCTGACTTACAATTGTGAAGCCGTCTCCACAATCACAATAAAGAGCACATCCATCGGTTTGAGTGTCTTCCTTGTTCCTCGTGCCTCTTTGCAATTCCTCCCTCTTCCCTAAATTCTGTGCCTTGTTCCTGGCAACCTCTCATCTACTTTTTGAAACTATACATTACATTTTCTAGGATTTGATATATAGTATCCACTCTTTTGTGTAATTACTTTGCCATTCATTCAAGCTGTGTGTATCATTAGTTTGTTACTTTTTATTACTGAGTCAAATATTCCATTGTGCTTATCCATTTTCCTGCTGATGAACATTTGAGCTGTCTGTAGTTTTTGGCTATTACAAATAAAGCTGCAATGAACATTCATCTTTTATGGACATGTACTTTCATTCCTCCTACATGAATACCCAGGAGTGAAATGGCTGGATCGTGTGGTATCCTAAGTTTAACTTTGTGAGAAACTATCAAACTATTTTCCAAAGTATCTGTGCCATTTTACATTCCCACCAGCAGTAGTGAAGGTTTCAGCTCTTTCATTTCATCACCAACACTTCTCATCCTCACCAAGACCTGACCTATTATTTCTTATGGTCAGTCTTTTTAATTTTAGCTTCATACCACTAAAACCTTCCAATAGGTGTTTAGTGGTAGTTCATGTGGTTTTAATTTGAATTTCCCCAATGATTAAAGAAACTGAGCACCCTTTCATGTGTTTATTTGTTATCTGTATATATTTGGTAGAGCGTCTGTTCAAACATTTTGCCCATTTTTTTTTTTTTTACTGGGTTGTTTTCTTGAATGAGTGTTGTGGGTTCTTTATATAGTCTGGATACAAGTCCTTTATCAGATACATACCTTGCAAAAATTTTTTCCCAGCCTGTTTCTTGTCTTTTCATCCTCTTTATAGTTTTTGAAGAACAGAATTTTAAAATTCTGTTTAAAATTGGACTTACGATGAAGTCCTATTTATCAATTTTACTTTTATGAACTATACTTTTGGTGTTGTGTCTAAGAAATTTTTGCCTAACCCTAGTGTTCTATTATATTTTCTTCTAGGAGTTTTATAGTTGCAGACTTTCACATTTACATTCTATGAACCACTGAGAGTTAATTGTTCTATACGGTACAGTCAGTTCCCTACCCACTGCCTACATACCAGCCAACCTCACCATTCCCAAATCTCCAACAAGCCACGCTCTGTGTCCTTGCTGAGCTTCTGTAGAACATGGGCCCTTGGCTGATGCTCTTCCAGTCTCTGCCCATCTATGCCAGTCGGGTAAGA